CCTTTAACATCTCTATACAGCATGTTCATGGTAAAGACAACGTAGTGGCCGACGCACTCTCGCGACTCTAGTCCCGTTTCTTCTCTGAATGGGTTGAGTTTTTTTTTTACGTCAGACCCCATTCAGAGTCTTTGGGTGGGGTTGTTATGTGCTTCGGGCACATTAGGATTTTTGTCTATTTCTTTTCTTTGTTTTCTTACAGACTTTAGTTGAAGGATCTTTTGTTAATATATTTTGGGATTCTTTTAGCGAGTTAATTACGTTAATTTGTGGTGCTGTCGTCCGCCTATAAATAGGCTGGCTTTCAGCATGTTGGGCGTCCCTTTTCCAACTTCGTTTGGACGCCGCTTTCCACCTGCTTCCATTTGTTCCATCGTGCGCGGTGCGCACTTGTCTTGTCGCTGCGGCCTGCAGCGGACGTTCCAGCCTGCCATGCGGTATTTTTGTTAACTGTTTCTTACTTTTTTCTTAAAGTTTTTGGCCTGGCGGGACCGGTTGTCCTGTTTTCGATTTTTCTTTTGCTTAGGTTATTTTTGGCCTTTAGTCCGGTACCAGTAGGGGCTTCGACGGCCCTGTATAGGGTTGGCCCCCTGCTGTACCGTTTTATTCTGTTTGATGGACAGCAGAGAAGATCATTGAGGCTCCTCTTTCCTTCAAAAAAGACATTTCATCCCAGTGCTGCGTTTCCCGAGCCCGTAATATCATAAATGACCCCTCACACCCCCACCATGGACTGTTCTCCCTGCTGCCCTCTGGGAAGAGACTTCAAACCGTCCGATACAGGTCCAGCAGATTCCATAACAGTTTCTTCCCCACTGCCATTGGACTACTGAATGTTATGTAAAATGGGTTATTTTATTGTATTTTATTATATTCATTATATTTTTTTATAAAAAAAAAAAAATATTAAAACTGTAAATATACAGTCATATATTTGTATTACCGTTTTACTGGCAATAAATGAGTTAAAACTATTCTATCAGGTTCATTGAACAGATTTATTTACCATTGATCAGACAAAAGGCATTCTGCAAGTCACATGAGTCACTTGCAGTCAGATGTCAACGTTCAATTAATTTATGACCACTGGCCAGACATTAACATCGCATTTGGCAGTTCTTTCAAAAAGCTATAAACACAAGATCATTACACAAGTCTTAAATTGCTTAATTAATAAGCTTTTTTCAAACCTTTGATCTTCTCCACTGGGTTCCTCCACTGCTCTAGGCCATAGCTCCACTTGTCTCACCAACATCTTCTAGATTCTGGCTTTCACCTAGCAAAACACTAGCTGTCTACAGATTAATTTTTAGTTTGATTCACAACCAAAATGCAGATTTTGAATGTTCAGCAATGCCTGTACACTGTAGTTTAATTCTCGTGTGTCATGACAACTTTAAAGACAGAAAAATGTTTGCACTTCAAACTAGTTTACCTAGTTGTGCATGATATTTCTATGTCCAGAGATTAGGACTTTTACATATTTGGTGACATTATGAAAGGTAATGTCTTTTGACTAGTGATGGGTCCAGCAACACTGATGCGTGGGTGCATGCGTGGAGAGCATAGAGCCAAACACTGTTTTGGTGCGCGTGTTGCTTCAAGAAAGTCATCTGACAAATACAGGAGTTGTTTCTAACTGATTGACTCACTAAACTGGGTTTAAAAATGTATCTGTCAATATGATGCATCTGCTAAAAAAATATCTCATCTTTTGCGGTTTATCATTAAAATTATCAATAGTTTTGTAGCAGCCTAAAACAAATAGGAACGTTTCAGCTGTTGCGTTTTGTATTTTACTTTTCTGGTTGTGTCATACTTTTCCACTCAGTTATTACTCAACTTATCTGAATTTAAGTTAATTTCAAATTGACTCTTACTTTATTTACTGTTTTTTCTGTACTTATTGTTTTAAAAATATGATTTAAAATCCTAGTCCACAAGCATTCACATTCACATTTCCCCCTAAATTTTCACATTATATGTTTACCTAATTTATTGGCCGCATTAAAAAAATTAAAGATATTTTCAGTTTAAACACCGATATGAAATAACACGATATAACCTACAATCACTTAAATCATATCCTTGTACTAGGTTATCAAATCAAGTGTCTTTAAATGTCTAGCTGGTGTTGGTATTCTTTGAGACAGTATCAATACAGTTTGGCAATGTGTCGAAACACTTCAAGATGCCTCATTAACCCATCACTACTTCTGACTTTTGACTTAAAAACGTCATTTTTTGCCTTCTTAAAAATGAAGTCCCTCAAATTGCGTTGTCTTTGCCGCTTGGCCGTGATGCTGTTCAGCATGGCCCTCTGGGCCATCGTAATTTCGTCAGGCTACTTGTAAGTGCACAGCCTGCCAAATTTGAAAGGGCAATATTATTGCCATTACTGTTAATATATAGTAGACATTTACATATTCAGTGATAAAATGTTACGGGGGAATGGTCATTTAAGGAGCATGATTTTTAAGTTTTTTTTTAAGAAGGGGGTGCCAACCCCCCTCAACTCGAGTATTGAATATTATACCCAACAATAAGAACTACAAGCAGTAATGCTGGCTGCCGTTTCCAGTCATCTGTTATTATGGGTTTAACTTTTTCCATCAGTCGCTCTCTTACTCCATTATGACTTTAATTGACTCTTGATCAGAGGATAATTTAACTGATGAGGGATTGATAAATATTCCAGTTACACAACTGAACTTTCATATGGCGTCTGTGGAAAGCTCCTGTATTCTGTCATTGGCCTTCTAGACTTATGTTTGAGTTTCTTTTAAATTTTTCAGTTCCACTTTGATTTATGTTATTCGGTTTTTTTGTCTTGCATTGGTTACTTTAACATTTTGTGTTATATTTATGCAATTTTGTATTTCTTGGCTTACTATCTGTTGCTCCCTTGTGCCTGTTTCCTTTCCCCTTGGCTCCCTTCTAATCACTTCTATCCACACCTGCTCCATATAAGTTTATTTGCCCATTTTCTGTTCTGTTGCTAATATATACACCACCTCTGCAATTCCATATTGTTGGTTTCTTGTTGCTTTTTTGTTACTCGGCTCCCTGGTATCTCCTGTTTTCTTTCTTTTCTGTATTTGGATTTTTGGATTTTTGCCTCTGTTGCCTCTGGAATTTTCAATTAAATCAGCAAAACTCATCTCTGCCTCCTCATCTCTTAATTTGGGTCCTCAAAAACCTCCAGCAAACATTGACAATTTAGATTATTTCAGGAAGCCACAGGTAGTAACTCAGCTTTAAGGCATTGTTTTCCTATAGATTTAGGACATCCTTGACTAAGACTTCATAACCCCATACTGATTCTTTGGCTGGAATGCTCAGTAGCTGGTATCTCCCCTGAACTATCAACTGCCCTCATTCTGCCCAAACCAGCAACTTTTTTCCCAGTAAAAATCATAAATACCATAATTTGGCTGAGGTTTTTAGCACAACTCAGGCCTTCCCACTGCCTGTGCAATGACCATATTATTGCTAAATAGATCTCCTGCCAGACGTGAGTCTTTCTGCCAGTCACCTGTACAGCCTTTCTAAACAGGAATGCAAAGTCATGGAGGCCTGATTTTCTGACTAATGAAAAAATTCTTAGTTGGTCATCCTCTACATGGCACATAATTCTACATTGACTTTAGAGGGATTTATGATGTCCCTATTAAGAAAAAATAGAGATTACCACTCATGTTCTCTGTATTGGCACTACTTCTTAGAGAAACTGTGTTTACTAAGCATGACCTATGTAATTCTTATCACCTGGTCCACATTTGTGAGGCGGGTAATTAACAGCTTTCAAACTACCATAGGTAATTTTGTATAGGCAGTCGTGCCGTTTGGCGTAACAAGCAGTTGATTGTTTTTAATCCCAATCATATTAAGGGGAATCTGTTCTTTAATTGATCCCCTTTGTCTTACATTCTGCCCCGTCTGAACCGAGTACCCAGATTGCCCAATTAGCTAGAGTGATTTCATTAACCACAGATCCTACCCTGTCCAAAAAGAGACAGCCTAGTGAATAAATCTGATCTAGGACAGTTTACTCAGTCCCTTTGTCCCACCGTGCCTGATGTGTACAATGCAGCTCATCTATATGGCAGCTTTAATTGGCCAGAACCCCCTAGCATGCCAGAACCCCCTAGCATGCCAGTCTAAAGCAAATAAGCGGTCCAGAGCTCATTAGCGGGCCAGTCCCCAAGCCAGAACCCATTAGTGAACCAGTCCTCCCTTCTCCTCAGTTGCCTTCCCCCAGTGTCCTAGCCACTCAGTCAGCTCCACCCATTGTCCTAGCTCCACCATCTGAGCCTATTAGCATCCCCACTTCTCCAAGGCCCCTTAGTCGGTGGCCCCCTCCGAGGTTCCTTTGCTGCAGTCGGCGGCCCCCACTCCGAGATTCCTGCACCGCAGTCGGTGGCTGGTGCAGCGACGCCGTCCTCCAAGGCTCCAGCTGCAGACACGGCGTCCCCCAAGGCTGCAGAGACGTCGTCCTCCAGAGACCCCCTTTCATCGCTGGCCTCACTGCCGACTTCCTGAGACTCTTCCTCGTCTTCAGCATCATGGCCAGCCTCCAGAGACTTTTGGTTTCCAAAACTACCCACCTTTTTTTTGCTTTTTGGACTCTATTTTTGGCTTTTGTTTCATGAGCAAAAAGCAGCAGAAGATGCTGTGTTTACATGATGATAAAGGTTGACTGATTTAAAATGTATCACTGAGTGCATGGCAGCTTCTTTCTCTTCTTTCTCTAATTACATACTTCTCAATAATCTGCAGTATGGTGTTCACTTTTGCAATTTGAACATTTTAAAATCAAGCAGAAATTTAGTATTTTCATTGATCTCCAATTTATTTTCTACACAATTCTAAATAAGGATATAATGATGTTTATTTGTGTTGGTGAAATCACTAGGGACAAACTCTTCAAAAAACAACTCATAACTTATATGTATTAAATAACAAGGAGACATGACAACAGATTTTGATATAAATTGTAATCTTATTCAGATCAGAGAAGTTACAGAATTTATAGAATGGCAGCTGCCCACCCTCTCGGTTCACCTGTCAGGAAGTGGCCCCAATTAACAGTTAAAAAGGCATTTTATATGTCTCCAGTCTGCCACATGATCACATTTTCCATCATACACGTTCGCAGATGAATAGACATCATGGCAGCAGCCTTATCCAAATATTCCAATTTGCTCTTAGTTGATGGACACCACACTGATGTCATTCTCAAATATTTGCCACGTACAGAATGAAGATTATAACTGTATCAGGAGAGAGGAAATGTCTCAAGCTGATAAACTATTGTGGAAAACATGAGTTCTGACATGCAACAGGCAGCCAATAACAAGGTGTAATCATCAATGATAATTATCTTAACAGTATAATGGGGATCTTAGTTCCCTCATTCAATATGTGAGTCTAAACAACAAGCATGAAAAAAGCAAAACTGCACTAATGCTTGTGAGCCACTATGTCTGCTGAGTTTTGCTTAACATATGTTGCTCTGTAGACTTCTATTCACTGAATAAAATAGTTAATTTCAGCATTGTTATAACATAAGTACAAACAGGTACTTTTAAACTATCATAAAAAGTAAGTAAAAACATAAACGTTCCTTTTTTTAAGATAAAATTGCTCCATAACAAAGGGTTAAATTAGCGCAAAATGTACTTATGAAAGCGCAAACCAAAGATTAAACTAAATACATAAAGAAATAGGATATCATTTTACTTGTGAATAAACACTTTCATCCATATTTTTCTTAATACATCTAATGGTTGCTTTGCTTCCTGGAAACTGCAGTGCTGCGTAGTCCAGGTCATTTCTATCTTCATCCTATGCATAGAAAAAAAAAGAATAAAATTGAAGTCCCTAGAAACATCTTATGTCAATAAAAGACTGTTTTTCTTCTATAGGAGTACATACAATATGGTCTTCCTTTTGGCCAACATCATGTCCGTGGCTTGATTTTTTGCCTTAAACAAAATAACACATTTAATACATTTTTCTATAAGATTGAAAGTAATCAGACTGAAATATTTCAAAAAAGTAAGAGGAAAACCTAAATTACTAAATGATAATTTAGCCACAAAAAGAATGTTTATTTTTTTATTTTTGTTTAGAGTCATATGGAACCGGCTGTTCCAACGTTTGCAGTTCCAAATTTTCCCGAGTGGTGCCCGACTTTACACGTATGAATAAAGTAAATGTGTTTTGTCAATTATCATAAGGTGGGGATTGTTGTGGCGGAAGGTTCGCAAGTTGGTTGTGGCCGGTATCTCGGAAGCATCTTGCTGACCAGTTAGCAACTAAGAGCTTGTAGGTCCCTGATGGGAAATTACATTGGGACCAAGTAGCCCTTAGCAATGACACTGTCAAGGATCGCTAAGGACATGCAAGATGAGGGGGGTTTTGTGTTGGAGGTTCTAGGATTAGTCTCCTTCGTCATAATTTTTTATTTAGAGGAGGAAAGCGGTGACACAGTTGTTGTGGAAGGGGACGCCAGGGCGGCTGAAGCTTGTTTGGTGTAGAAGGCTTACAGCCGTACATGTTTGAGCCCTTGCCTCACAACGCTGCCAGTTCTGTTAGCTTTACGCCTGCTGAAGACACAGACATCCATCCCCGTGAACACTGAGATGTAAAGTAAATGATTCTTATTTCTACCGTTGCGTGTATTAGCTGCGACATATGAATCAAGATGCTATGACTGAAAAAATTTATTGACATATGACGTTAATATGTGATTGGCCGAATTTAGGTGTACAAGCTGACATATGACACCTGGCCTGCATAAAACAAAAAAAATAAAAAACACAGATTATAAGATAGGATTTTTTTTTTAAATAGAATTTTCTAACTTTTGGGTCAATAAGGTCTGATAAAGAGTATATTTATATATATGTTTAAGCCAAAATGATTTGACATTTAAATATGACTTCCCTATGACTTAAAACAAAAGTACCCTGCTCATGAACAGTGAATAAATATACATGTTAAAAGGTTCCGAATTCTTAGAGAACATTTACTGAACATTACAGAAAACACATGATTTCAGTGATTGCCTCAAAGTGTTGCTCAACAAAAATGTAGTTCAGGAGCTCCACCAGGCTGCATATACTGTTAAAATATATATACAAAATCGGTGTCGTGATTTCGGTTATTTAGCATTTTTATTTATTAGTACTTTGCTCAATCTCAATTTATTTTACTGGCATCTGATTTTTTTTTTGTCTTTAATGGAACGGTATGTACTGTAATCCCAAGCATAAAGTCATTGAGAATAATATGTCAAACAAATAGAAGACCTTTAGACTGAATTCAATAAATAACCCTCACCTTTAATCTGTTTCTTGGCTTTTTTAATGGATAGGTAGCATGCAATTGTAATATGTAAAATAACAGAAATAATCAAGCAAATTTTTAGAGTCACCAGTGTGATAAATGAAGAGTTTAAAGATTGATCTTGAAAAGAAACAAAAAAAAAAAACTTTTTAAGAGATGTTTTAAATGAACATTTTAACTTGGGTAGAAAAATAAAAATCTTACCGACTCCAAGAGTAGTCCCATCACCAAATAGTATTTCTCCACATGTGGCTAGGGCACAGTAGTATGTCCCAGTCTCAGAGATACTGACATTCTTAGAGAAGCTATAAACACATTTTCTATCATGTTTCTTCATACAAACATCCTGAGGGACTCCACTGGTAAATACAATTTCTGGATAAGAATTACTTGATCTGGCTCTAAACCAGAACACCTGGAGCTCTCCTGGACAAGTCTTGGTCTGAGAGCCAGACAGAATTGAACACTCCAGCGTTTCAGTATCTTCCACATTTGCTGTATTTGCGGTTCTTGATCTCTGCACAATTGTATAGTTTATTGTTTTCTCGATATTTCCTGTGTGGCACAAAGTAACATTAGAAACATGCAAAATAATACAATAGTGAAAAAATGTAATATTTTTGTTTTTAAGAGAGCAATTAGACGTGAGACTAGCTTTTTTCTTTTTGTGTACTATACAATACTCTTAATCTACACAGGAATAATTTTACCTCGGCTTTGCCTTAAAAAACAAACTACCCTTGCAAAGTATTATTATATTTGTTGTCTTCAAAAATATTATGGTACTTAGAGTAAAGAGTTTTTCTACAAAAAAAAATGTTTAAAAGAATATGTAAAAGGGATCATAAAAACATAGAAAATATTTATAACCTTCTCAATAACCAAAGCATTGCATTAATTAATTTTTAAGTGTTTCTAGGGGTGCTAATATCGGATATTGGTTCAATATTACATGGGTCAATTGTTTATGCCTTTTGTTGTTGACAATGGTTCTCTGTTTTAGTAAGGCTTAATTACTGTCACTTGATCAAGCCTTTTCTAACATTCTACTATACAAAATAAGTTTAAAACAATGTTTGCATTACTTATGCTAATGTAGTATTGTGTCAATATTGTCTGGAATATTGGTATCGTATCAGAAATGAAAAAGTTGCATTGGGACATCCTTGTTTGTTTCCACTGGTATTTTGATCATAAGAGTGCTGACAGATTTTGTAGCAGATTTAAGTTAGGATTTTGCTTAAACCTCTTTAAATGGTTGATTTAAGTTTAAAGGAATAGTACACCCAAAACATGATTAGCCTTCATTTTCTACTCACCCCCATGCTGAACAACACTCTGGAGTACTTTTTTGATATCTCAAATGCATCTGGAGATCTGGGAGGCTTCTTGCTGTCTGCTGACATTCAAATAATGGAGGTCTATTGTGCCCGAGACAGAAAGGTCCATAAAAGTCCACAAAAACGTGTCAATATTCCTCCATACTGCTCGTCCAAGAAAAAATCCGCAAGCAGAGCCTACGGGTTTGCGAGCGCATTTGAGACCCGAGCAGAGCGCGGTTTGTGCGCGAAGAGAAGGAGGCAAGCGAGAGGAGAAAATATCTGTGCAAGAAGCATTAAATCTGAGAGAAGAAACAAAGATTTGAGAGAGAAGAGAAAATATTTGAGAGAGAGCGCATGTTTTGAGTGTGAGCATTATAAGTTTTGTGTGCAAGAAGATGAAATTCTTTTCTCAAATTGAAATGATTTGCTCTTGCATTATGGCAGGATAATTCTCCCATAGAAGATGCACACTTAAACATACTTGGGGATTCCACTGGGTAACAGGCTGGACTGATTCACTAGCTCATTTTTAAAAAGGGGCAGTCACCCGTTTATCCTATGGATCTTGAGGTCATTAGATGCGTGTGTAGCATTGCTGATGATGCACTTTGTTATATAGCATAAGTGTTAAGGAACTCTAAGTGGCTGCACAAGCTGGATAAAATGACCCAGTGCTGGTAAGGAGGTTGAAGCTGTAAGCTATGCATCATAGCTAGGTATACTGATAAAACTGAAGGGCTTTTTGAAAAACCGTAGACTCCCTAAGTTCTCTGTCTTCCGGGTCCTGGCAACCAGAAAACAAGCATCTAATTAATGTGGCTAAATTCCTATGTATGTTCTTCTGTAATTGAACTCATTCCAAAGAATTTGCATAAGCACTCTGTACAATTCAAATGGAATATGCTTAGGATGATCAACCTCCATGCTGCTTCAGACGCCTTCAGAAAAACTGAGCAAAATTAGGGTTGCCTCCCATTTAAGCTTTTTATTGTCAGGTAACAGCACAAAGACATACAACCATGCACACACAGACACCTAAGGACAAAATTAACAGACACTAAATAGTCATGATTTTGGACTGTGGGAGGAAGCCAGAGTACCCAGATAGACCCCACTCAAGCATTTTTTTTTATTATTTCATTTGACATTTATTGCATAACATAAGTATTTCATACATTAGAAAAACAATACCTGATATTTGATTTAGAAAATGTTTTCAATTCAAATATCAGATGTTTCCTGTAGTACTTGACAAGGTTTGGATACTCTGCAGCATGGGTTTTGGACTATTCGTCCATACATATTCTCCACATACTTCTGGTTTCAGGGCTTCAGCTGACAAATATGGACCTTTAGTTCGCTCAAAATATTTATTTTCTCTTGAGTTCACATGCTTAGCCACTCCAGCACCTTGAGATGCTCTTAAACCCTTGGTTCAGCTGTTTTTGGAAGCATTGCATAAGCCCTGCGGTGCAACTGCACCTTCTAAGCTGATCGCAACTTCATATTCTGACCTGTGTGACCGCTCTCCTGGAAGCTGCTGCTTCCACGATGCATGCTTGGACACCTGTCAATCCCAAGAATGGACAAGTCTGCTCTGATGCATACTCGGTAAAGAGGGAATGGCGAGAACAACATCCGGTGACTTTGTCCGTTGTCTTCTTGTTCTTGTGAATTGGAACAGTACTACGGCTGAGGCCGATGACATTTCATAAGTACACAAGCACATGAGAACGCACAAATACACATATTGAGTAACGGCCAAAGACTAAACTCATGAGAATACAGAGTGAAATAAAGGTCACAACCACCAGGAGCATGAACAGATAAATGCTAATGTAATAATATAAACCTTAGTTTATATTAAGTCAGTTAAATTAACATGCTACTCTTATTTTGCACATCTCTGATGTTGCTACTATTTTCAAATATCCATTACTGTAAAAATGTCCATAGCTGTATATTGGTTATTTATTCTCCAGGTGCAGTTTTATAATTGTAAAACACTTTACAGTACAGTATTTTATTATCTTTTAACTCTTCACTATTATGTTATTCTATTATGTTATTCCATTTTTTTCTATAATTTTTTTGCTGTTGTAAACACCACAATTTCCCCCATTGTGTAACAGTAAAGGGATTTTCTATTCTATTCAATTTGATTCTATTCTATAAAAGTGGTAGAAAGACATAAGTAAATCTAAACAATGTATGTATTAAAAATATATCTGCAAAATCTTTTTTATTCAAAAACAAAAAATCTGCAAATTGTGCAAAATAGCAATTACAAAATAAAAATCATATCAGATTTATAGTCCCCACACTGCAGATATATTAGAATTTGTCCTCAAATTATAGCCAAACCTTTAGATAAATCAAACATGCCCTGCGATACACTGGTGAACTGTCCAGGGTGTACCCTGCCTCTCGCCGGTAGACAGCTGGAGAGGGGAACAAGCACCCCTCGTAACCCTGCTTGAGATAAAGCGCGTCAGAAAATGGATGGATGGATGGATGGATCTAACATTACCCGTCACATATATTCACCACTGTTCAGCACCAAGTACCTTTTTCCTCTGATCACGGAGCAGCTGGCTTGCTTGGTCTCACAATGAATCCTGGGATAACTAAGCATAGATAGGATACACCGGACCCATCCTTCAAATCACGCAAACAGAAGGACGCATTTGTAGGCTGCATAACGAGGAGTTTGGAATCCGACCCAACTTCGGCTCTGTGGTATGAAGTAATCAACCTTAAAATATGGCCATCGGAGGAAGCATCCCAAAAATTTGAACACGGCCATACACTTAATCTGTATATTCAATGGAAAACAGAGGGGAGCTGTGTGTCATGCTGCAGTGCAACAAAGTCAATAGTAATTACCAAAAAGATTAGAAACATTTCTCTTCATGATGGAATGGAGTATATGCATGGATGTTGTATGTTTATGAGGAGTCTATTTCACCAGAGCTGAATAAAAAAATTCCAGGATAATAGATAAAGCCAAACCCAACCTAGCATGAGAAGTGCATTCCTGCTTTATCCGTTGCAAAAACTCCAGGCCAGGCTCTTTGTGTGCGGCTAGTTGGCTACCTTAAGCCAGATGAATATATTAAGCTGAATGTGATAAGTAGGCTTTCTTCAAGAGATCATGAGGATGTTGCTTTAAAAAACAAAAGTGGATCAATTAAATGGCTTAAAGGGCTAAAATATATGTCCCCTGAACACTTTTTTTTAAACTGAAAGAAGCATGTCATTTTTCTAAAAAATGATCAACTATTAACCTCAAAAAGGACAGTGGAAACAAATGTGGTAAGAAGTTTCTATCTCATATCACTCATCCCATCTTATATAATGGCGGATTAAATTGAAAGAGTGGCTTGTGTGACATGTGGAGGTGTAGCAGATTTTTCTCCAGAGAGCCTTTGTTTCAGATGCATTTCCTTTTACATCTGGCTCCTGCTTCAAACCGGGTTCCTATCTGGATTGGATTTTCTATACCATACCATACCATACCAACTTTATTTATAAAGCACTTTAAAACAACCACAGTTCTAACACATTTATTTTCTTTTATTTAGATAAATGTTATTAAAACTTGATTCTACGTCATCTCCACTCTTTTTGTTGCTGCACCTGGTCTAGAGCATTAAAAGAGTATGAACACAAAAGAAGATATCCATCCATCCATTTTCTGTCATGGCTGATCCCTTCCGGGGTCGCAAGGGTCGCTGGTGCCTATCTCCAGCTGTCTACAGGCGATAGGCAGGTTACACCCTGGACATGTCAACAGTCCATCACAGACAAAAGAGGACACAATTTGTTAAAATAAAATGACTTTTTAAGAAATTGTACAAACACCAAATATCAGGTTTATGTTGAATCAGCAGTT